TCAACTGTGTGATGTTGTTCTTACTCTCGTTTAATGTTTTTTTAGCGTGATTTAGTTGTTACTGCTGGTATTCTACATTATATTTAAGTTTAAGCTTATTTTTGAATTAATGATTCCCTCCTATTGCTGTTGGCCACGGCAAAAAATATATAATAGCTATAAAATAACAATGCGTTCGAATCGAAACAGTGTACGAGTTTACGACATTATTGTGGTTCTTGAGTCATTCGTTTAACGTTGGGAACTTTAACTTACGTTTTATGTCGACCTCTTTTTCCTGTTCGTTTGTTCGAATTTATGTGACATAAAATTTTCTGTAAAATCGTATCGCTGAGTCATAAAAAATAAACAAAAGACCAACATCTTTACTTTTACAAACCATGAAAGAAGATTGAATGTAGTGTCCGAGTTTTGAACAACAATATTTTTTTTTTCTTTTCAACACTAATTTTTTTTAGAACTTTATACAGCCATTACGAACAATAAAATAAAACTATCAAAATCATACCTTGTGTGCCTCTGTTATTATAGAATACATAATAAATTCAGTGAGTCGTTAGTATTAGTGCGATTTTAAATGCAGCCAGTCTCATTCGTACAGTAATTAAGTTCAGCGTTCCAAAAAAAAATTGGTACGTCTAAACAAACTTTAAAATGGCCTTCAAATGAAATTGAGTTTTTAATAGTATTTCTGTATAGGTTAACAGCTATCCCGAGGTTTTTTTTTGTTCTGCTCTCTTCTGCCAATGTAAGTTTAAAATACACTGTTCTTAACTTGTGTTTTTTTTTTTAGATGTTTTATGGCATCCCATACGGGCAAAGAAAATATAACTTTTAACGCGACAGGATCAATCTATATACTTCACAGGAAACGGGAGTGCAATTGGAATCGAGGAAAAGATAGACAAGATGGTGGGAGTTAGGTCGGAAGCAATGATAATAACTCGCGGCTTGCATCGACGAGATCGTTTGTTTTCAGCATTTTTGAACAACCATCGGTCGGTTCAAACCAGGCAAGTTTATAACAGCTGTAATTTACCCTCAGGTGGAGAATAAGGAAAAACAGTGTTGGTTTTCTAAAACGACCGAACTGAGTGAAAAATAAAAACAAAAGGTTTCTGGGAAGCTGAATAATATTGATGAATTCAACAGTTTTTTTTTGTTTACCTGCGATCGTTTGCCAATTGATATTCTGTTTCTACGACTTCGTAATCAACTGTTTAATTGCTATACATTCAGCTAACAAACGCCAAAGATCTGCCGCTTTTGTGTATTTACTTTTTTTTAGGCTAAACTACATATTAGGTACGTTTTGTGAATGTTTTTTTAAAACTTTTAAAATATTTCTATCAGAATTAAATGTACGTGATTGTGAGCTATTTTATATCAATAATCCATCTCATAGTACGTCAGCTATTTGACTAATACAAACCTTATGAAAGTTATAAGATTTTTAAAATCTGATTCAAGATTATTACATTTACCAAACTTTATTAATGAAAAATAAATTATGTCTTTTAATTGGATAAAATATTAAAACAATTTATTCTATTTAGTACAATGCAAATAAAACTATTGATGATGATAAAATTACGATTATTGAGCTCTAAAACTTTTGCTTTAAATTTAATTAAGAGTTTATTTAAAAGTTTTTATGTTGACATTGTAAGTTATGTAGCGCCCAGAGTAATTCGCGTACTATAAATAATATAATTATACTTGTGCAGAAATTTTTTTTTTGAAATATTAAAATTTCCACAAAAGTATTATTTAATGAAACCAGGAAAAATAGTGAAATTAGTGCATAAATAACTAAAATATTAATCTTTGAGTTTTTTTATTAAATAATAAAATACCCGGAGAATTATTTTTTTAAATAATAAGTAAAATTATAAGTCTTATTATAATTCTATGATATTTCTTTATAAAAAGTTGATTTATATAAAGAAAAACCTAATCCAAGATCAAAAAACTAATAAGATTTACATATACTTTCAAACTTTTTATCTATACAATGTATTGTTTTTACATTTATTATCTTACAATTGGATGTTTATGGAACATTAAACTATTCTTCATTTATTGTTAAAAAAGGTAAGAGTTTAAAAAGTTAACTTTTCAATAAATCATTTATTAAAAGAAATGATAAGATAGTTTTGAAATTTTAAATAGTAACTTAAGAAGCAATATAAATTCGTAAAAATTAAGAAGCCGTAGAAATGTACACATTTTTAGAAGCCATAGAAATGAATAATTTTTAAGAAGCCACAAAAATTAACAAATTTGAAGAAGCCATAAAGTTTCGTAAACTTAATGAAGCTGCAAAAATGTACATATTTGTAGAAGCCATTAAAATGCATAATTATTAAGAAGCCATAATATTCATAAACTTTAAGAAGCCTTAAAAATGCACAATTTTTAAAAAATATTTAACCATGCAGTCATAGGCATACTATTTGACTAAAAAAAACGATATTGTTTAAAGTTATCATGACTTTATTGTTCTGAATTTTTGTTATGATTCAACATGTCTCCATATAATTTTATCTGAAGGATTCAAATTTTGATCTCAAATTCAACGAAATCATTTATATAATAAAATTCATAAAATAATGATCATTAAAGTAATTTAAAAATTTGTAAAATATTAAGTACTCTAGTATATGAATATTATAATTTTATAATTCTATTTATTAGCAAAAGTGTCTTCAACATCGAAAATTATACCTAGAATTATATATATATATTGGAATAAATAATTGATAGTTCTAAATATTTTTGTGTGAGTGATCTTAACTTTGTCAAATTTGTGAAATATTCGCTTCCGACATCACTATGATAAAGAATAGTTGCATATATTTTTTTTTAAATACATTTATATTAATATTATTTTTTTACTTTTCAAGTAAAATGATATTTTCTTGATGAATCGTGTTTTAATCTATACGATAAACACAATAAATTTTATTTAAAAAGATCTTTTTGTGATACTACACTTCAAAAAAATCACAATTACAAGTGCAATTGGTTGGTTACACATTTTGATTGTACTCGAACGACTTCTTAACCAAAGTATCGATATGTTAAAAAAAAAAAGTTTTACTATACGTAAAGGATTATTAATTCTATCGTCCACGTTTTCGTTTTATTATGTCTCTAAAATCGTAATAAAAAGCGTATTATATTCAAAAAAAAAAAAAATGAAAAAAATCTTAAACCGCTTGTACACACGAAGTTAAGGTACTCATTGTTCCTCACATTAATGAGCTTTGTGGATATAACTTATAAATACTTGCCCATAAGAGGGTTGCCGCAGGTTATCTGCGCTAGTTATACCGGTAAAAACTAATAGCACGTTAGAAAGTACTGCGTTTTTTGAAGGTTTTTGCGAAAATTAATACTCAAATTTAAGTTTATGTTAATAATGGTTATTTTAATTTACCACTAACCCTGTCTGTGTTATAGCCTTAGCAGATTTTAATGAGTCTAATGCACGCAAGATTGATTGAACGACTTTTTGTTTCATTTTTTTCAATCTTTGTTTGAACGAGGCATTGTAAAAGAACGAGAAACGAATGCAAAGAATAGCGTATTTATTCATCCGTGATGAGACGCACCCTGCAACTCTTTATAAAATGCAATTATTCAATTCAATGGTGAGAAGAAGATAGAGTGACTTCTACTCTCGTTAAAGCCGGTCATTTTCGTATTTTCTTGAATGATTCTTACAGTCCGACAAAAAGTGAGCTGTTAAGCTTTTATTGGCGAACAAAAAATAACATAAAGTGAACTATTTATTATTGCTTTGTTAAATCTACTCGATTTAATTTTGTAAAAACGTAAGATTTCATGAAAATAACTTGAAACAATTAAATAAAAATGTGATTTTTAAACGTTTGACAGGTTTTTTTTCAAAAAAAGTTTTTAGAAAAATGAAAACAATGTGCAAGAAATTTATTTATTTATTTGTCTAGTGGACTAAAACGCGCAACTCTTTAGAGACTCAAATTGCAATTAATTGTTAACTACGTAGTTTATAACAACCTTAATAATATAAAATGATTTCATGTTGTGTTATTAATTTGATGAGTTGATTACATAAATAGGTCACTTGTATTAAGCACTCGCAAAATGTCTACAACATCACCCCACCGGTTAGAATAAATTTACTTCACATTTTATGCGAACGTCAGTTGAAATTCAACTGAAAATAATCTTGTAATTTAAACAGATTATTTTACAGAAACATGCAATATTTTTGTTTACCTAACAGTATACTTCATTTTCCATAAATATGAATCCTATAGAAATCATATTAAAAAAGAGCATATTAACTACGAAGATTCAATTCGACGTTTTTAAAACGTAAACAGATTTTACTTACTAATCGAGTCGATTACTATCAAAATATAATTCTCATAATATTTTAATTTGTGTAGTTGAAATTATCAGTGTCTTTAGAGAAATCTACCAAGATAAATTTTGTTACACGCACAAATAAAGATATTAAATACATTCAATTTTGTAGGTGTGACAAAATTGTATTACTGCTACAGAGGAGTTATATTATTTATTATATTTTTATGGAAAATATAAAATAAAAATCTGTCAACACTTAATATAATATATATTTATTATGTCGATGTGACAAGCGTAGCAAACTAAATTGTTTCACCTTGCACGTGTCTTCTAACAATAAACTATCCGCATAAAAACAAAAAACCTCTAAACTTATTTTCTTGCTACTAGTGTTGTTATTTACATTCGACAGGTTATTTTAATATGAAATCTAAGTACGGCGTTTTGTATAGGCGATTTCAACGCATTAACGTAGCGAGTGTTTTATTTAATAAACGAATTTCCATTATTGGGCATTAAAAACATATAAAATAACGGAGTAAAATAAATATTTATGATCAAGTATTTTATATAGAGCAGCAATGATAACTCATCAATCAATATTATTATTAAGTCAGCTAAAAGTAATATGTATCTTTACAAAAAACGTTCAATTCGTCGTTAAATATATTTTATTCAATACGTTTAATCATATGGATACATTTATTTATAACAATACCAGAGTTTTGTACAGAACTTTCCGGAAAGTTTTAATGTAATCCATTGAACACTTATCGTTTCGTTAGTTTTAAATTAGAAAAGAATAAACATGGTTATATGCACTAGAATGGAGTTGAAATCGAATAATTATTTCACTCACGTTATACCGGATAAGAGTAAACAACTAGGTCATACTTTGTTTTTCCGACAGTTGAAAATTCTTTACCATTTCGTGGACCTAGCTCGCTATATTCGGAGAGTATCTACAATTTTGTACTCATGCCACGTATCCGTGAAAAATCGCACTATTTCCACTTTCGGTAGTTGTAAAATAAAAAATATTGCTAACAGTTCAAATAGTGTTCGCTACTCGATTTCAATCTTAATACTTGGTAAACATACCAACGCTCAACAATTCTCTCATGTATGCATTAGAAATCTATTGCATTGCCATTTAGTTGATAATTTAACTTTCATTGAAATTATCTCGAAAATATTATAGAAATACAACGTCTAGGCGTTCGTGTACATTGAACAGCGTACGAAACTTGAGTTTTTTTAAATATCATTTGACACGTTCAGTCTGTTTCAGCAGAAATAAATTTACACTGTGTTTACTACCAAAGTAATATCTTTAATATTGTTTCCAAAGCTGTCAACTTCAATTTATATTAAAAAATAAATGCTCATGTAACGTGTCCTTTATGTTAACTGTAGCGATCACACACGCGAAATTCGAAACTAAAATTAAATTGTTACTGTTAGACACAGGCGAAATTTTACAGAAAAAAAACATTTACTTTTCAATAATATTATTGTAGAAATAAATTACCGACTCTGTGTAACAGTAGTTATGTCTTTACACGTCCATTTCTCGGCCAGCACCAAACGTTACTTTTGAAATAATAGCGCCATAAGATAACCATCATGAGGATTATTCTTTTAATGAAACTGTGAATATTACGTTGAACAACACATTTTTTGCACAGCTATCAACCGCTGAAGACGGATCGTGTACTATTCAAAAATAAATTACACTTAAAGCGCGGACAGCATATAATTATTAATTATAAAACTGCTCGGGTGGTATTACAAATGGGTGGAAAATGTAACTACTTACTTTTGGATTAGCACGTTCAAGCGCCACCCGATGTAATAACGACTGTGGTCTGTATGTACACGGGGAAAATCACTTTAGGATTTGCCTCAGTATATGTTGTAATTCTAGAAAATATTTATGGAATAATTTTTGTTTTACACAGAAATATTAGATTGCAATTATTTCTGATCAACTTTTTTTTAGAAAAATTATCTAATGATTATGTAAAAATTTACTTTTCTTTTAGTTTGATTAACTGAAAAACGTATTACCAAAAACTTATGGAAAGCGCATTCTCACGTGATTTGAATCAAAATGTCAGCTGAAAAAATATTAAATATTCAAAATTCCTGATACACACCCTTGTTTACCGAGTGCTGAGGACTATGAGTGTAACATATGATTAAATATTTATTTTAGTAATTAAATATAGTATGATATTGATATTTAATAATTTAATATTGTAATTATTAACGGTTTTTAAATTTGTAATTTTTTTAAGATTTCCCTCACTTACAGGGAACAAGGGAAATTTTTTCAATTTTTGAGGGTAACGTCTTCGACTAGATACGATTTGTGATCTTTTGACGTATCATTGAAAAAAATCGGTTCAGTAAGAGCTGAGAAAAAATGGTAACAGACACAAAAAAAAACAAAGTTTCTCAGCTTCGAATCGAAGCTAAAAAATGTATCAGCACACGTATCTCACCTTCAGCCTTTAATTTTAATTGTTAATGACCAACAAAGTACTGGTCCGTAAGTTGCTCGCGGTCAGTCAGTTTCTTAATTAAATCATTATCTTATAAATAGGATTGTTAAATTTGTATGTTTTCATTTACAGTTATAAGACATAAGTAATTAATACAAAATTATATCGTGATTGATAAATTGAGAAATATATGAAACTGAAAGAGACCAAAAATATAATTCCCTATAATACTTTTATGTTTTAATTAATCAAGTGGCCAATAATAAAAATAATAATGGGCACATTAAGTTTCGTCTATACACCTATGTTTACTCAATCATTCATTTATTTTTTTAAATTAATTAAAATTATTATTAGTTTTGGAGTAATTAAAAAATATAAGCGAATATTTATTAATTGACTATTATTAATATGTTATTTATTTCATAAACTTGGCATGTTAGTATTAATTAAATACCTATTTTTTACTATAATATTTCATAAATAGTAAAAATGAATTTTGTTTGGAAATTAAAATTTATCATAAGTCTTAAACTACAGATAAATAAAATTTTTTAACGTCAAATGTGATTTAATTTATTAATATTTGAATAACGCGTAATGATTATTTTTCAAAATCATTTGCGTAGTTAAAATTGCTTATGATTTATTTACGACTTTAAAACTGATGCTCTAAGAGAAAATATACAAAAAAAAATTATTTTTATACATCTTTAAATAACTGATGACAATAAAATAATCAATGTTATTCGCAGATTGTTAAAAACAAGTAACTTCTGGTAAAATAGTAGAAAATGGATTGTTAAAAAAAAAATACATTAAGAAAATTCTAAAATGATTACATTTAAACCAGTTTAGCGATATTTAAAAAATGATATTCAATAAACATTTAAAAAATATTGAACACGGATGAAGTCGTTTATGTCTAGTGAAATCAACACATAAAATAACAATGCATTTTTTTGTATTATCTAAATGACTATGCAGTACATCATGTTATCGTAAAATTTCACTCATAAATAATGAAAACAAAAATTGCTTTAAAAGTATTTTACTAGAATTTGGTTGCTTAAAAAAAGACTTTTTAATATAAGAGAACTGAAAATAACAAAAAGTTTTTAAGACCAAATACGCGTTATCTCAATTTTTACATTGTATTATGAAAAGTGTTTTTCTTTAACGACTGTTTGATCTTACCCGAATAAAACTTTTTCGTATATTAATTACTACAATTTAAAGCATTTACAATGCCTACTCAATTGAAAGTAGACTCCTGAAAAAGTTCGAGTATATTCTTTTAAAGATATTCTCAAACGATTATGAGTTTATCGAAAATATTATGACTAAAATAAATTATATTTAGTGATCGATATCAAATTTTGATGTATATCACTACAATATAAGCGAATTTTAATCGTGCTTATAATATTAAGTATCTATAATAATGAAGCATTGCCAAAAATCCGTAATTTATAAAGATTTTTAAGTAAAATTAAAAAAATGTCGAGATCTCTAAATAGTCTATATGTTGAACTTTACAGACGTCCGTTTCACCTGGTGTTTAAACTATCCTCGGTCTGCCCTGGCCATTGTCGGTCTACTGGCAGTTTTGCATACGAAGAGTTATTAAAAACCACATTTTATTTAAAAAACGACGAAGACGCAAGTTGGGTTGACTCAAAATTTGTTTGGGAAATTTCATTTTAAGTGGCACGCGGACGTTTCGTGTCAGAAATAACGAGAAACAACACATCATCACGTCACATCGTGTACGAAAAAACTTTTTCTCCCTTTCACGAATATTTTTTTCCTCTTGTACATAAATTTAAACAAATAACTTTGTTTTCACTAAAATGACCTATGCTGGCTGTTGGCGACAGTGACAAAAGTCAATCTGATTATCCAGATATCCGGAATGATACTCTACGGTATATAAACATGTAGGCTGGTCCAAATAATCATCTCTTTGCTTTATATACGTCCTCACCTCTATTGGGAAAGTATAAATCAAGCGGCTATCGCCCACGTGAGGGTTATTTTTTGACGTTTTATTATTGGTGTCGACCGCCTCCATTGGAGTCCCGAGGGCGTTAATGAACCGGTCACGAGTCTATAAGATTAATCACCCCAGTAAGCTGATCGAAAAGTTTGGACTAATGAAAATTATAAATTATTATCTTTCGACGGATGGTTGCTGTTATGTCGCATGTAAAGTTGTAAAAAATCGATATTGTCCTAAATCTTTTTTCAATGGCGTCAGACATCATTTTTATTTGAGTTAAATACAGTTGACTAATTAATAGATAACCGAACCGACTGTTTTGTCTTTCAATTAAATAATTACACTTATATCATAAGGAAATTACATATTTTATTATTTACTAAACGTTTAATGTACATAAAGATTATTCGTAATTATCCACAATTCACAAAATTAATTTCACAGCGTGTTAAAAAATAAATAGCACTCAAAATTTATAGTTAATTTTCATTCAACTTCCACGTCATGATAATATTGGAAATATTATAACATTATATTTTACCGAAACACCAAATATTAAGGAAATAATATTTTGTAAAGAGTTTATTATTTTAAATAATAAACACTTTACAATTTTATATTGAACATTTGTAAAGAAAATAAAAAGGCAAAATAAAAGTAGAACATTCATACAGAAAAAAATTATATATATATATATATATTAAAACGGGTAATCGCTAATTAATACAAGACTAAAAAATACAAAAGTCAGCAAAACAATAGAATCTTCAGTATTATATATGCAATAGGTTTTGATTTGTTAAATTCGTACAAAAACGATTTTTATTTAAAGAGACAATAAAAACCTTTATGCATTTAACTTATTCGTAAAAAGTCAAATTTCACTATTTTATTATTGTAGTTTATAATATAAAACAAAGAAACTATATTATAATTAAGTTTTCTACTGTTTGAATGTCTAGGTGTTTAATAACACTCAAACAAAGTATATTATTATATACAGACATTTCATAATTTTTCTCTTGAAGATATTTTTTACATTTTTCATGAACATGTCAACAACGACATGGTAGTTCATTAATTTAGAACGGTTTCCCTGGTGAGTTATAAATAACAAGGGTATCCATAATTGAAATAAAAATTCATATACGATGCATAAAAATGTATAAAAACTTCCATCCGATATCAAGGCTATTGATAAAACAGTAATTGACAGTATACTAATTTTTTAAAATGTCAATTGGTTTTGATACGTGGAATTTTTCCACCAATTTCGTTATAAAATATAGTTGTTTTTCGCACTTAAAATTCATTGAATGATTTGTTGGGCAGGATTTAGTTGAAAAATCTTTACAACAGTTTGTTATAGTATGGAACTTGTCTGAAGCAATGATAATTATTCATTGTTCCTTTTGGGACTTATGCTAATGAATTGGAAATTAAAGGGAGCGAAATCTCCCGGAGAACTGCTGTAGATTAGTCTTTTTTTACCGTAGGCCATTCCACTTGTTCAACGGACATTAAATTCGGTACATTTAATCTGCTAGCGCTGATAATAATTAAAAGAAACCACCTCGACCCCAAAGTTGAGAGGTGGCCACTTTTTCGGTGTACTATTGGTGATTTTCTACGATTGAAAACTTAACGAACCGTTAACATCAAATCGGATGCAAAAATTGTCTAACGGAACATTATGTATAGTTTCGCCAATCATTCAACAAATATTTTTATAGACAATATTCAATTTTCAACTTTTATTATTTTTTGTTTTTTTTATCCACATTTTGATTTCGATGGTACAAATTTAGCATGTTACGCATTATGATAAACGTGTAAATAACAAAAAACCTAGTCGTACTAACCATCAGAAAAGATATTATTTAAATGATTTTCGTTTGAATATCAATCGAATAAATTTAATTGAACACAAAAACTATTTACACAAACAAAAATTAATGAAAATGTTGTTTGAATAATAGTTTTGTTTACTATAATATTATAATGGCCTTGAACAAAACATATCTGTTAAAATATGACTTCAATATAGGATAATTAAAGTAGATAATTAAAGCATTAATTGTTGTGGAACAATATACAGAGTGATTTATTAAGCATACTATCCCTATGTTTTCGTTAAATTATTATTTTTTCATAAAAATACAGAAAATAAAAACTTAAGAGATATTAGAACTTACATATTTAGAAAAGTTAAGGGCTGGGGTAGTATTTACCGATATTCTATTTTTACGTTGCGTACCCTACTCATCTATAATTAAAAATTATAATAACTGAAAAAATAATATTAAAAAACTGATTATCGACTAGACAACATTTTATTTAGACCATTCGCCATTTAATAGTAAAATATATAATTGGTTCCTTATTAACTTTCGAAAGTTATACTTAAAAAATACCCTTAGGAGTATTTTTTTTTTAAACTAACTTGATATTATCAATGGTTTATAAATATTAATTCAAATTTAATCTATACATTTTTATGAAAAAATCATTATTGAATGAATAATATAAATAAATCACTCTGTATATGTATCAATATAATTAGATGTTAAGTTACTTGACGAAC